AGCGCGAGCATATTCGTGACGGGGATTCGAACCCGCGATCCACAGATTGCGAGTCGAGCGCCCTGACTACCAGGCCATGTTAGGACAGAAGCGAAAGAAAGGATGACGACCATAATTAGAAGAAATTAATTTATGAATGATTGAAATCAAATATAAGATATAACGTCTGTCTGTTTATCTGTCTGCCTGTTGGTTGTTTATCTACTTGTCTGCTTATCAATCTGTAATATGCAGACATACCATATTTTCTACCTGCTTTAGTGATATAGAAATGATAATAATAATATTTTTTTTAGTTCCATGCTGTAATGGCGGCTACACGTGGTCCATATAATCGTTGAGAATGCCTTGTTGTATTTGATTTGTTTCTTTGTTCTCTATAGTAGGTAATGTCTATTCTGATCTATGGAGATTTCCATAACATATAGAATCCAGGTTGTAATATCCTTCGCTAGACTAGTTGGCTTTGGTTAAATGTAACAAGCAACCAATTATGTGAGAGAACAAAGGCCACAAGGTAACGCTGTCGAATGATGGACAAAGAAAGCGAGTTTACCTTCTGAATTAAAGCATAATTTTCTTAGCCAGCTCTACTGAAGACTGTAATGTGAAGAGTTACTTTAAGACCGTTTTGTTTAGTTCGATGTAAGTCGACCTTCAGAAGAAAAAAGCTTTGGAACTAAAAACACTCTAGTAGAATCAAGTATGTTTCAATCTGTACAAGTACGCACATTATACTTTCTGTTTGTTTTTCGTAATAAAAAGCTTATGCGTTTATTTACATTTGTCCATCAGCTGTTATTAGTGAGATAACCTATCTGATATTTGTCTATCTTATCTGAAAATATCATAAACCTATCTGCCAATTGATTTGTTGTTTATCTATATGTTTGCCCATTAACCTATCTGCCTTCCTTTTTGTCGTTTATCTGTCTGTTTGTCCATAAACCTATCTACTTGGCTGTTTGTTGTTTATGTACTTATCCATCGATCTAGCTGTTTTTACCGAAGTACCCCTAGTTCATATTATACAAAATAACAAATTAATTTTACTTTTTTTTTCTTCTAAAGTTTTATCGTACAGTCTCAACATTGTAAAGACAACATAATTACAAACACATCTGTGACCCGAAACTACTAGATTTATCGAGTGCACAAGTGCTTATCAACGACAACATACATCTTTGGTCCCATGTACGAACTGTTTGTTTCCGTTGCAAGTTTCTATATATATATTTCACAAACACAACAGACACAAGATAATTTAGTAAGTTAAAACAGCTACGAAATGAACAACCCTAAAAACAGAACTGAAGCGGTATCAAACATCGACAGTAACATGTAAAATAACGAAACCTTGCTAAAATACAAAACAACAGGAAAGAAGGAAGAAAAGTCATTTATATCACTTGTCCCACAGGGACTGAACAACACAACAACAACTGTATATACGTTTGTATGCGAGAAGAGGGGCAGTAGAAGTAGCTCGCAACAAAATATATGTTAATATTTAAAAGAAAATGTGTCAACACAACAGGAAAGGTTTCGAGGCCATCCAAAACAAGACCTCGTTAGAACTCGGCCTACTTTCTTGAGGCTTGTAAAATATATTGATACCGCCATTAGTGTAGTATATTTGTAACGTGTCTGCAAGAATTACTATGAAATAAAAAGTTAATGTGCTCAATTGTTGAAAAGAAATTAAAATTCATTGTTACTAACCGCTGATTATTATTATTTATTGTAAATACTAATCAAGTACGAATAACTAAATACTGTAATTACAGACTAGTTGTTAGCCCCCCCCCCCAGTGGCACAGCAATATTCTTACGGACTTACAACGCTAGAAACCGGGTTTCGATACCCGTGGTGGGCAGACCTCAAATAGCCCATTATGTAACTTTATACTTAATTACAAACAAACGAACTATTTGTTAGTTTGTTTAAGTGCAAAGCCATGCATTGAGCTATTTGCACTTTGTCCATCGTGTTTTGTCGAACCCTGGATTTTAGCGTTGTTAAGTCTATAAATATACCGCTGATCTACCAAGAGACAATTAGAGAGTGTAATTTACATAAGTATTTTGTTGTCTAAGCGACTTTTTTTTCTGTTCTGTAATCCCATTTAATAATTCAGACTTTGAACACCAGGGGATGGCAAGTATGTTTTCAAAGTAGATAGTTATTCTGGTTAGAAGAACTCTGTACATATTATATTTTTTTTAAAATAAGTCTTTGTGAAACAGCTAAGCCGCCTTTACTATGAATTAAAACTTGCAGCTAGGATTTTTTCTACAGGTGTTTGTTACTCTCTTTGCGAAAAATAGGGGCTCGTTCTCATTTTTATCAGCCCCTGTAAAAATTTAGCAAAGAGAGGCGGGAAAGCAGTATTTTTCTTTAAATCTGTGACACCTACAGTTATGTTTTAAAAATGGAAATGAAATAAAAAATATGTTTATCAAATATAACGCCAGATTTCCGTAAAAGTGACATTTTCTTCGCATTAAGGAGAGGAAAACGGATCTAAAAAATTAAAAATCTTCACTGCCACTATAGACACCAGTATATATCAAGTTATTCTTCTATTGGTACATTTTGGAGTTTTTGACATTTTATGTTATATATATTCACTCACGAGAAATGGCATCTTAAACTGAGGCATGAATTGGTATGTTATGTTTCAAAATATATGATTAAACTGGAATCCTTTTGCAAACGCGTATCTACTCCACATTAGAGTAAACCAAGTTTATAAAAACTTCTCAAAGTATTAGTTTTAGAAAGTTATCTGCACATGTGCATCTGTTTCAATGTCCCAGGATCTGATAATGAGAGATTACACTCGCAACCCTTTCCCAGTTCTCTGAGCTCCATCCACGACTAACTGTCACCATGTATTTCGAAGATCAAAATTCGATTCACATTCTCGACGAAACTCTTTTTGTTTCTTTAACATAATTTTAATTACACTGAATATCAGTTAATCAGCGTCCGTTACAGAAAAATAATGATTTGAGGTACTTCAGGGTAAGGAAATAGAAAACCAACACTCATCGGCAAAATAGGTTTAGACTTATAACAGCCTGTTTGTTGCTTTTTTGGAGGCAAAGACCTGCTGTTAGAAAAGTAACACTCGTCACAACATGAAACCTTGAACTTTACGTACACGACTTTTCAGGAAACCAGTCTGCTAATCTTTGACCTTAAAGTTAAATACTCATGAAATGTACAAATGTGTAAATACAGACACAAGTATCGTGATGTATGTTTATATTAATCGTAAACGATACTTTATGATGATAAGTTGTAAAGTTATGTATGTCCTTACTATATAATAGTTACTTGAATAAGTCTGTTGAATATATATAGTTGATTATATATATATATATATATCTATATATATAGTAATAATGAATATGTAATTGCAAAATGAGAACTTGACATAATTATGTGTAAGTGAGCGAAAGGTGTCAACAACCACAAAACAATGAAATAAGAATATCTTAAAATATAATCCAAAAACGCGAAGACACGCGAAATAAATAAAACCCTCAAAAGTCTAATAACGCCTAAACTATTGGCCTTTTATAATACACGTATATTATCTGATGATGGTAAAAATTCAGAAGGTTAAGTTCTTTACTGCTTATCTATTAATTATAATTTTCTTTCACAGCACAATTTCAGTCTATCGGAATAAAACACGAACCTTTCTGTATATAAAATAAAACAATTTTATATATGCACCTGTATCAGATTTCACAAAAAGCTTTAGTTACATATTTGGAAAATACAATTCGATTTCAAGGAAAAGGTCATATGAATATTTCTCCACGTCTGCACAAAATAAAATATGTGATAACAGCCATTTACTTTTTGTATAATTTTAACTTAATATATAACTGCGTGCTGCCATCTATCGAATGTCACAGTGCTAAATGATGTTTAACCTTTTTTTGGTGCCATCTAACAAAATGCAAGTAATTTATTATAATTATAAATTTCCAGGTGTTAGATTGCCACAATTAGGTGGCAATACGAAATTAAATATTTTGCATAAAGATATTAAAAATTTACAGATCTTATGTTTACCATACTACTGTATAATAATATGTGCAATGATGACTCTCGAGTATTTTTCGGATACGAATTTTATATAATTAATTACTTCGTTCAAATACTTTAAAGTAATATGTCTTTATGTCCAATTCAGTTGATATCTTACATGATTTAGTAGCAGAATTATTATTTGTTTTATAATTCGAATTTCGAATGGTAGGTGTAAATACGTTCCACTAAAAGCGAATAACACCAAAAATGGGTTTAAATACGCAAAAAACAAACAATATTTGCGTTTGTTCTTTGTTTTGTTCGGATTTAGTTAGATGAGCTATAAATAAAAAAGTTTAAATTCATTATAAGGAATGAAAAACGTTTATTTTTAAATAGCGACTACAAAATATAAATAAAGAATGAAAAAGTAAGTATTTCTCGCAAATTTTTATTTATCTTTTATATGAATATTATATTTATATGCTTTGGCTAAATCTTATTTCTAACTCATATGTAATAAACCTCTTGAAATTAGTCATCTAGAAAGAAAAAGCACCGTTGTTGAATTCTTAATAATGAGAAAAAAATCTAGAGTTAAGCGCCTTAGAGTTGTAATTTTCATCAGAAGTGTAAAAACAGGTAAAACTGTCTTATCAGTTTGATACATTAACCCGTATGTAATTCTATGCAACACTATAAAGAATGACAATATATAGGGCAGTGAAATTTACGCCGTGAAAAATAATTCTCGATTTTATGTCATTTTTTAGTCATTGTGTAAAGTTTGCATTTTATTAGAAATGCCCGCCGTTGGCTCAGCGATAAGCTTGCAGGCATATAACACTAAGGATTTGGATTCGATATCTATGGTGAACATAACACAGATAATCTATTGTGTAGTTTTGTGCTTAGAAAATAAACAAATGTATTATATTCTAAGTCTTACCATTTTTTGCACCTCCATAATTCATTGGTTTGAAACAGTCTGTCGTTGTGATGTTAGATTCTGAAGTTGAAAAGTTAGTTTCCATTGGCAATGGACGATTCTTTTTGATTGGTACACAGAGGGCGGGTGAAGAAAAAAGTTGTGTAAAGAGCGCTACCTGGCGTTCGTCAGGTGTGTTTACCGTTTTAGAAGAAGATATATCTGAAACTCCAGATGATATTAAAGAACAACATGAACGAGCAAATTCATTATAACTTCGCTGCTTCTTTCTTTTTCGGTGAGACGACGTGAGTCCAAACAAAGAATCCGATAACATCCACGGATTCCTTGCGGAGTCTACCTTAACGTCGGTATTTGTAAACAAATTGTCTAATTCCAAACCTGGTTCAGAAAGTTGGCGCAAAAGCTCTTCTTGTTCATCTTCTAGTCCATGTACCATAGCTGGATGGTCAGTGTTTGGCAAAACCTGAAAATCTTCAGGTTGTTGTTGAACGATAACATTTGGTCCACTGTCCTGAAAAGGGAAAAAATAAGAATATTGAAGAATAAAACAAATAACCTAAATAATAAAAAATAATATTTTTTCGTTTGTGACATTGCACTTTGTAACATAAAAATAATTAAGTTATTCATCTTCAAACATTCATCTTGTGCAAGAATTACGACTATAACAAGGACCCCTTTCATTAAATGCCAACTGAACAGTTTTGTTTAAAAAACACTCGGACAGATGGCAGCAAAGATGCGTAAATAAAAGAAAAGCGCCATACGATTAATTTCATGTTAATTAAAAAACGAAAACACTTGAATATGTCGCATGTTCCATAAGAAATTATTACTTGTGTTTAATAGTACATAAATATTGTCAAATTATTACTTGTGTTTAATAGTACATAAATATTGTCAAATTATTACTTGTGTTTAATAGTACATAAATATTGTCAAATTATTACTTGTATTTAATAGTACATAAATATTGTCAAATTATATTATATCCACCTTCTTGTTGCACTTTGTAAGTAAAAGTATGCGTTCACACCAAAAAATTACTAAACATAGTGAAGAGAAGAAATATAAACGGATTATAATAATATGTTTCATTTTCTGTTTTATGATCATTTGAAGAAACGTACATTGTGATCATCCTGAGCTGTCCAAGCTGCCCAGTTGTTGTTTTGAAGTTAACTCATTACAAAGATAATATTGTGAAGGATAACGCTGATTAAAAATATCCGTATTCTATAATGGTTTACTAAAGGAGGAAAGTATCAGTAGAAACGTTTCCGTATAAAGTTACAAGAAATTTGTACATATTTAAAAACTTTCATCAATACTTACACAGTCTTGTTCAAAGAGATAATTAATAAAAAATTCCGATAACAAAAGTAACCTAAATTGATCAGAACCAAACAATAACTTATTTATTAATTAATTCAACTTTATGTAACAAAATTGACTAAAGTACACAATATCATAAATTAGGAAACTAAAACCTATATCAAATGGTATCTATTTGAACCAATATCTTTAGCAGAATAATCTCGCTGTTAAATATCATTTTGGTAATAGTCCCAATAATATCTCATGAGATTCTGTCGGCTTAGGAGAGTTAAGATATTAATCTATCCATATACTAATCCAACAATGCAGACTAAGTTTTATAATCTTAAAATATACTTCCAGATATTAATCAAAACTATTATAAGTGTTATAACACATTAGAGTGAATAAAATGAGCATTAAAGAAAAATGGTATAGATTATATTTACAAAGCATATAAAAATGCCAGCCGTTTGCTCTTGAGAAACCTAAATAAACTTACGTATTTTTAGTAGTCGTAGTACACATCCAACACCAACACACACATAAAAAAGAAAGACTAAAATCACAAATAAAAACACATTAGCTGCCAATCCGGAGGATTATACCGATGTTCACATCATTATCAGTAAGCCTATCTCTACTCCTTTCATAGTACGTCGTGAAATGGTCATTCCGAAGTTACAGATGATGGTTAAGTTACTCGAGCTTCCATCCTCGATTGACAGTGGAAATGATGGCGTAAGAAGATAAAATCAAAAACAGCTTTTTCGTTTTTTAAGTCAATAATCACTCAACGGTAAAACAAAAAAATTAGAGGCAAATCGATAAACAAAAATTCGAACCTAAATTTAGAGAAACGAAAAGAAAAAATGTGCAAGAGCAACTTGTTCTTCGCTAACAATAAGCACCAGGTGGTCCCAGTTAGATTGTTTTTATCTCACAACAACTAAGACCGATCTTTTTCATAAGAGAATAACAAATAAAACAACATGTGAATAACATTGTAATTCTTTAACCTTGAGTATGCATATACAGAAATATTACTGCAGCAATCCCTTCTTACTTACTAGCAATTTTACTAAAATATTTATTGCTTAAATAGATAAGTTCAGAAATACATGGTTGAAGCACAACAGCCCTCACTGGACATCAGTAATGTTTCATCAACTGTAAACAGGCTCATCTAACAGATGAACCATATCTCCCTCAATGAACAAAAACACTGGTTTGACACCAATAAACAAACCCAATAAACAGGTGTAGCACATCAAATTTCACTGGACAAAAACGTTGTTTTATAAAACAAAAAAATTTATATAACACATGAGACACAACTACACTTATATAATTCAAATAGCATACTACTAACTATAAAAATTATAACTAACAGCTGAAAAACATCAAACTTATCGGAAAAAATCTTAGTATAGACAATAAAAACATTTAATTCATTATATTTTGGGGGAACTCAGTGGAGCTTTTGTTGACTCTTCTTAACGATTTAAAAAAATCATACGTTTTTAAAAATTGATAATTGGATTTTTAAACCGTTATAGAGAATGAACTTTTGTGGGTCATAATGAAATTTAGAGATGCATGGCCCACCCAAACACCCCCCCCAAGCATCGGTCCGGATTCTTTATCTAGTTCCTTAGGGATTTTCAACAACAGTTTGCCATATCCATAGTGTGGTTGGAATACTATTCTTATACAGTCTTCTAATTCTTGAAAATCTCCAAGAGACTATATAAAGAATACAGTGTTAAAAATATAATAGGCCCAATAGTAATGTCCTACGAAAAGTATATCTATAATGATAAAAAGGCGTTTTTGTGGGTCTGTGTGTGTGTGTGACCGCCATAACTCCAAGAGGAAAGAACATAGAAACCTGAAATTATGCACCCATACTAAGTGGAACCTGAGGGTGTGTACCTGGGTATTATTACTTATCTACGTGCGTGCATGCACATCTTTTTAATGAGGAAAGCTAACGAAAAACCACATAGAAAAGAAGTGGTTCCTTATATAACAACTTCTAATATATAGAACAGCCAGTGCGTTTTGGTAAAAATGTGTTATAACAATGACTTTTATGTCATGTCGCTTAGTAACAAAAGTATAAACTAATATTGTTGTTAGTCTACGTGCTGAAAGTATAAAATGAAATGTATAAACTACAAAACTGGAAAAAATATTTGTTGATTTCTTAATTTAGAGTCTCTGTTGATTAAACAGGTTTGTTTTTTTATAAAAAAGTTGGTGATATAATATAAAATGCCTTAATTCAGAAACGTTTTAAGTTTAAAATCAAGCGTGACATGACGTGAACCACATTGGCTCTTATATAGGTTAGTTAACGTGACGTATAGTTGCATCTAGAATATATCA